CATCCTGATGCCTATCTTATCACGTTCTCACTAGCTTTTACATATTTTGAGAATTTTTGCAGTGACAGCTCATCCTAGTTGGAGGTTTTAATTATGAGATTTGATTCTTGAAATATACCTAATAGCTATTTTACTTACTTTATGAATTATATTTGTCCTTTGTCTATTTTTAGCTTTTAAAGTAGTTCAGGAAGCAGCTGGCACTTTTCCAGAGAATTATCAATCACTCTTAAATAAATAAATCTCAGTTGCTTTAGTTTGCTATTAGGCAAACTAAAGTTGCTCATACAAAAAAAGAGAAATAACCCAATTTCTGTTTATTGTCTACATCTCAGTCCTTGTGGCTTTAGATGTGAAGCAACCTTATGTTATGCATCCAGCACCCCCTCTGAAGTCTAAGATTCATTGAGTCAGTAGTTACAGACTTCTAGTCCTCAGTTTCAGCTGCTTTGAAGGATCACTGGAGGTGACTCCCAAGTCCCCATAGTGAATTTCATAAATACAGCGAAGCCTAGGTTTCAAGTCAACATCACAGACTTATCATTAAAATTTAGTAAAAATTGGTACTGGTTTCAGGTGATTAGCCTCGTCATCATAGTTGTGGCTATAACAATGGTAATTATGGTCAATTACATTTGCATGATGTGGCTTACTTTGCCCTGTTGTGTGTGTACATGTATGTCTACCGAGAGAAGCTTTTATCTTTTTCCATAGTCACAGCTACTGAATTTTTTTTTCATCTATTTTTATTAGTTGGAGGCTAATTACTTTACAATATTGTAGTGGTTTTTGCCATACATTGACATGAATCAGCCATGGATTTACATGTGTTTCACATCCCGATACCCCCTCCAGCCTCCCTCCCCATCCCATCCCTCTGGGTCTTCCCAGTGCACCAGCCCTGAGCACTTGTCTCATGCATCCAACCTGGGCTGGTGATCTGGAGAAGGCGAGGATGGGATGTTCTGAGAGAATAGCATTGAAACAAGTATACTATCAAGGGTGAATTTATTTTTCAATTTTTTTGTATTGTATTTACCATAAGGAAATCTTTCTCAAAGCACTTAGTAATCAAGATGTAAACCCTAGACAGCCTTTGTATGTTACTGATATATGTACAAGAACCATTGTTCCTATGATGAAAAGACTCTTAACTAAATCTAATAAGAGGAAAAATCATTTGAAGACCTTCCTTGAATTAGGGAGCTTCTGAAAGAATGAAATTCACGTTTCACTGGCAGTGGAGCCGGTATTTTCACAGCTTCATGTAATTTGTGAGTCTGACTGATACCTTGGTTCAAAATAATCTATCCTATTTCTGATCCTAATAGCAGCAATCTACAGCTAGATGTTACGAGTATTTCCATAAGGGACTATTCACCTTTTTCTGTAGAAGAGTTGATAGGTTATCCTGCTGGACCATTTCCACATGTGTGCAAGTCAATGTCACTATGTTGGTTAGTGTAGCTTTGATAGCATCCTTCTAACTTTGTTCATTTTGATGATAATCATCTTGCTTGTGATATTTTACACATCTTTTCATCCTAGGAACACAACCTTTTTACATATGCCTCATAAGCTTCGAGGGGAAATATGGTTGTAGTATCTTCATTTTATAAGTGTAGAAACTGAAAGTCACAGCCATAATGTGTTACTAGACAACTCAGTTACAAGACTGCCTACCTATCGGGTTTCTTTCCTCTCAGAGGGACCTTTCTCTATTAAATGCAATGTTTTCCTTAAAAATTGTAATATCTGGGCCAGTCATCTTCTTGCATTTACATAACAGGGCTGTTGATGTTTGCTCTGTAGATCAAATTCTGCCTGATCTTGAAGAGATTCTTCTAATAGTGACTTAAGGCCACTCTCAAGTACCCAGTATATGCAGAATTTTTCACTCGAGTTGAACATACCTGAAGGCTGACAATCTCCTCATAAAACTCAAACCTTTTCTGCTCATCTTGAGCAGAACATTTTCTCTTGTGAACTAAGAAAGAGGTTCATGAGTTGAATTACTCTTTGGGTGACTGGCATCATATTTGACCTTAAATGCTCAGGGTGAATGTGCTTGATAATGTAAAACAATCTGAAAGTACAGAACTCATTCTCTGAGTCTAATTTCATAGTCACAGATGTTGAGAACTTAAGTGGAAATGAATTAACATGCTCACATGTCCAATATAACTTACCTTCAAAAATATATATTTTATTAGGTTTAATCTTCCCAATTCTTTATATCTGAAAATCTTAGTAGAGTTCAGAAAATGTGTGCAAGACCCCTTTCATACCTTATGGTAGCATATGTTTTAATCGTTTATTACTCAGAGTTGGTTTAAAGTCATAACAACCTACTATGGACCACAAAATGTTTTCAGTTCATTTAGAACTGTCCATGGTTAAATCTTGGCTAACCAGCTTTAAGCCTTTGGCATTTGCAATATATCCTACATGAGAAATAGGGCTGACCAAAAACAAAACCAAGCAATGAACCAATAGCACAGAGATGTCATTTAAGAGAGAGATCTAAGGCAAAATTTTAGGGTTGTAATAAAATCTCCCAAAACATCTCTAGTTGGAACCAGTACCATATAACTTATTACCAGTGGGATAATCAAACAATCATATAAAATAAGTTTTCAGAAGCATTTCTGAGTTTTCTGCCTTATGCAAATACTGAGTAACTTCCCTACCACACAGTGTTCTATCATCCAGCAAACACAAAAACCACTTGGCACTTACAGTTACATCAAAATAATATATTAGGTAAGTGACATGAACGTAACCTTCTCTTTTCAGTCATTAAGTATAGATATGCTGTTAGTGAAAGTAGGGAACATTTAACATTCAACTACATAATTTATATGAAGAATTGAAATGGTGATTGTGATGTTTTCTTTAAATAATGCATATTCAGCATATATCTTAACAAAACAAAATTTAAAATTTAGAAACATTTTCATAAATATTTTTTCATTGAATTTTGTTTTGATTCTAAAAGAAATTCCAGCCTTTAAATAAATGAAACAGAAATGGACTGAATTTTTAACTGGTAGTCAGCAGTGAATTTTCTTAACAAAAGATTTTTTTTTAGAGAAAACATAGAACTAAGAAAACCTTCATAAAACTTTATAAGTGGAACTTCTTTTAAAATATGCTATTTTATGTTAAGTATTTCTCTGCCCTCATTAGGTGTGTCTTATCATTAGTTACAGTGTTACTAAATAGTTGTAACTTTACAGTTTCTTTGATTAATGAAGCCTTCCACTAAAGTTTCATTGGGTAGGATTAACTACATTTAAAATGGCAAAATGCCATTATAACATTAACGCCAGAATCTAATGAGAACCAGAAGTTAACTTCAAGGACATTTAGAATTTAATATGAGGGCACCCTTATGTTCTTATTATTTTACTATAGCGTCCTATCTTTGTTCTTGCGATAAAAAGCTGTACTTATTGAATACCAACTGTGGGTCTACCGTGTGCCAGAATCTCATGCATGAGACTATCTTCCATTCTCAAACAAAACAGGCCATTTCTGATCAGAAAGAGGAGAAATGAGAACCACCTCCCTCACTTGAAAGTCCCTGACCTCCTTTAATCTTGGATGACTCTAGTTTCCTACAGCACGTATCTATCATCCTAACCTCTGGTCTGTTTATTTTCCATTTGGTGTCATCAGCCACCTTCTCCACTGTCTGGATTGAAAACCTGACCAGCTATGTCTGTGTAATAAAAGGATCTCAGGAATATTGGATTTCTTAGATGTAGGAAGGATGGAGATCATGGATTAGAATGGAATGTTCTATTTGTGGTACTGAATAGCTATACCTCACAGGAAGAGAAAGCTTACGTTTTGTGCAACTACATGATAAAATTGGAACTAGGGACAGGTAGAAGAGGAAAATGAGCTGACAGGAGGATTCTTTTTACTCTGTGAGGAAGAACCTTCCTGTACTGAAGGCGTACAGTACCAAACTACAAATGCAGATGAACTTTCAAGCTCTTTCCTGTTCTAAAAGTCCCATGATTCCTATGTGCTTAGAACCCAAAGAGGGCAAAGGACCTAAAGCAAACATCTATGTTCCTTATCCTTTTTTCTCACAGTTCTGTGTAGACATACTTGCAAAGAAATGTTGAGACCTTATGAAGACTGAAAGTGGTAACCACAAAGTGGAAGAAGTCAAATACAGCAGAGACCAAGGGAAAACTGCATCCCCAAACTCCTGATGGAGGAAAACCTCAACTATTTAGCTGTGGTCTGGGGTTCCTAGTGCCTAAGGTGAAGAGGAGAAACAGGAGTAACAGGGTGTGATTGTTTTTTGGTAGTAAGACACACCCCTACCAGTTCCCTCAGAAACAAGCATTTTTATTGCTCTCAGTAAGAATACCTTGGTTAGGAGGATTGATATAAAAAGCCATTAAACCACATAATAAATGATGTCCTCATGAATTTTAATAGAAAATAAAGAGGTATTCCACATATGTCATTTCAAATATTGGCCTTTGGAGAACACTGAGGGAATAATGTTAAAAGCTAGACATTTTTTTCTCCCTTGAGGCAGGGAGAGGGGCGTTTGAAACTTCTGGTATATTTACTGTAGATAAATGCTTATTTTCTTTTGACCCACTGACATGTGGAGCAGTAGAAAGATGTAAAGATGTCTAGTACAGGGCAGCATTGTTAAAAGGAGGAGGGGATAAATGGAATTTTTGTGGCAGAATGATATTTGCAAGACTGATCAGGCCGCTGGGAGGTTTTTAAATATGCCAGTTCCCTGTAACGGGAAGATCAGTCTCTGAGACAGCATATCCAATTTAGTAAATTATTATTATTCCATCAAAATTAATGTGAACAATTTTCTCTTTGAGGCTGCTTTTCCCATAGGTGATGTTTTCCAGATGGGCTTTGTGTAAAACTCTTAATGTTTTGTGTTTTCTTTCCGAGAGCAAGAGCCTTTTCTGACATGTCTTCATTTCTTTCTCTTCCGGCCGTCGTAGGGAAGAGAACTCCAAAAGCAAAGGAGAAAAAGAACAAGAAAAAGAAGAGGAAGCTGATAGAGAGAGCCCAGGAGCAACACAGCGTCTTCCTAGCTACAGACAGAGCTAACCAGTAAAATAAAAGACACGGAGGGTGGAGGTTTTGTTTTGTTTTGGGTGGAGGGCAGGGGGTGGTGTTTTTTGCAAAAGTGCACACAGCTACTGTCCACTCCTGGACATGGTGGTGGCATTTACGTGGTTCTGACCAGAACCTGTTCCCAGGAACCTTGTGAAAGGAGGAGCCGCAGGCGTGGGCTCTGTTTTATTCATGGTTTGATTTGCATCGGGAGACTGTGAAGGTGGGCGATTGAGACCTGCAGCCAAGGCAGCAGGAGTAAGTGTAGAGCATGTGACTGTGTTCCCTGTGTGCCCCGAGGCGGAGGGGCTGCCCACCGGAGGCGCAAGGCTGCAGACCCCTACCCCTCACCCGACTGGAGAACTGACTTGTGCATATTTATGGAAGGACGACCCTTGGCCGACAAAGTGCTGTTTTACTTGTGACCTGTGTTTCCCCCATTGTGCATTTTCAAGGATCAGTGTATGTGGCTATCTGCCTAGTCTTACCACATGTTGTTCTCAGCATCTGTTACCTTCCAACTGTTGTGTCCAGAGACTGCTCTTAGCGGCAGGAATTCCTGCTCAGTGTCACAGCAGCTCGGATGTGTACATACCCTGCTGGGGCTGCATATAAACCTCTTATTTACTGTATATTTATGCTCTCTTCTGTGTAACAAGTCATACCCAATTAATGTTATGTCTCCCGTTTCTAGTGGTTCCTAACCATTGTCCCGTAAATGACTGTTCTAGTTTTGCGAATTGATGAATGTTTTGCTGCCCCTTGAAACTTCTCTTTGTGGGCTTATTTCTCATTGTAAAGATAGGATAAGCTAGTTTGTACATAGGATCAAATGACCCCTGTCAGAGAATTTGAATATCAATAGACCTTCCCCACTCCTCACCATAGCTAAAGCATGACGCATCTGGAGGTCAGAAACCAAAAACTGCCTTTGAGTCTAAGATGTGATGACTTTATGAAACACAACTGCATGAGCAATTACATGCAGTTACTTATACTACTCATCATGCAGTTTCACAGGCCAGCTAGAGAATTTTTCAAATTTTTACTTTCAAACTTCAATATGTATAGGTTTTATTTAAAGCAGTTCCTGACTTGCAATGACAGAGCACCTACCAATATTCTTGGGTCAGTGTAGAAATGACCACCTCATGAGACCATGCATAGAATTGGAGGAGAAAACATGATGAATTCCTAAACTTACTGGTCAGATCTTAACAGGGCCCCTTTAAGCCAGAATTTCTGTTTCAAGACTGAGAGAGGAACCCTGTGGAGACTTCCCAGGTGACTTTCAGGGTAGTTGTTTTCAAAAACGTCATTGTCCACTAGGGGGTATTAGTTCTTAGAGGGTTTTGATAATGATGCTTCTTCCAGAAGCATTATCATCTTCCTGGATGATCCAGAAGAAAATTAGAACCAAAAGGAATGATGGAAGATTTTTTTGAGGGAAAAAACAAAGCAAGGGAAAAGCCTTTTTCTCTCACCTTGCATTGGCTAAACTACCTCTTTGCATTTGTGTTTAACTTTTGAGTCAAAAGCATCTTACCAATAAGTATAAATGTCATGTACATCATTATGAAAATAATATTGCTATGAGATAAGCCATATATGAATGTTGTATACAACTTTAGGGTTTGCATTTAATCCTAAAGTGTTCACCTCCTTTCACATCTATTTAGACTATATTCCTATTTACTAAGTGGGGAGGGAGCTTCTTTATATAGTGCTTCATCGTTAATAAATCAATACTTGTTCTGTTTCTGGGATGTTCTTTTTGTCCATTAAAAAAATTCAAAATTATTTTTGTGGAGATATTCTTTTCTTTAGAGATACATTTAGGGGGGAAAGCGATATTTTAGCAACTGTACCCCCAAGTAGTGGTCTTTAAAAAAAAAAAGCAACTTTTTAAAACCTGTGTTTGTAAGTACCTCAAGGAGATAAACTAGTTTAGCTATAAATTGCATTGCAGCAATGGAGTTGGATATGACTGAAGAGACTTAGCATGTGATTAAGACTGGGGATTTTAGAGCCACACTGCCTGAGGTCTAATCTGGACTCTGAAGTAACCTGGAGCGAACTGTCCTCCCAGGTCTGTTTTGTCATCTGTAAAATGGAGGTAATTGTATTACCTACCATGTAAGGTTGTGTCTTAGGTAAACAGTGTAAGGTAGGGTCAGTACAGCATGGTATAGACTAAGCAATACACAAGTTGTTACCTGCTACTCTCATTACCTGTGTCCTTGGCTATTTATTCCCCAAATTATCAACAAAATGGAATACATTTATGAAAATATCCATTCCCTTCAAACTATTTTTGATGTCTGGATATTCTTTGCTTAAACTTTTATAGAATTGAATAAAGCTACTTGATTTTTAAGCCTCTAGTTATAAGCAAACTGTGTGCATGTGCTCACAAGAGAGAGAGAGAGAGAGAGAAAGACTGTCTACAGTGTAATGCACAGCTTCAGGATAATTAGACAAAGAAGATCTGGTGGTTTTTCACAAGTGGCTATACCATTCCTTTACTTCATACAGTGTATATAAATAGAACATGTGAAACTGATTTTCTTAGTATTTTCAGGTATCTTAGCATCTGTAGAAGTAAAATATGAAACTACAACTTTCTCAATTAAAAAGCTTGAGTGGTATTTTGATAGGGATTGCACTGCATTGTAGATTGCCTTCAGTATAATGGCCATTTTAACAGTATTCTTTCAATCCAAAAAAACTATCTTTCCATCGGCTTATGTTGTCTTCAATTTCATCAGTGTCTTATAATTTTCTGATTATGGGTCTTTTGCCTCCTTGGGTAGGGTTATTCCTTTATATTTTATTCTTTTTGATGTGATGATAAATGAGATTGGTCACTTCTTTCTGTTTTGTTTTGTTTTTTAATTTACTTAAATTTGGAGGTTAACTTCTCTTTCTGGTAATTCATTGTTAGTGTATAAAATGCAGTATATTTCTGTATATTAATTTTGGATCCTGCAACTTTATTGAATTCTTTGGGCTCTAGTAGTTTTTTGGTAGCATCTTTGGAATTTTTCTATGTATACTCTTATGTCATCTGCAAAGAGTAACAGTTTACATCTTCCTTTCCAATCCCTATCAAAATAGCAATGGTATTTTTCACAAAAACTAGGACAATTTTTAAGATTTTCATGGACACACAAGAGACTGTAAATAGGCAAACAATCCTAAGAAAGAAGAACAGAGATGGAGGATTCCCATTCTGACTTCAGACTATATACGACAAAGCTACTAATTAAATCCAGTACAGTAGTGGCAGAAAAGCAGACGCATAGATTATAAATATATATGCACCCAACATAGGAGCACTGCAATATGTAAGGCAAATGCTAACAAGTATGAAAGGGGAAATTAACAATAACACAATAATAATGTGTTATTATTATTATATTTAATACCCCACTCATACCTATGGATAGATCAACTAAACAGAAAATTAACAAGGAAACACAAATTTTAAATGACACAATGGACCAGCTAGACCTAATTGATATCTATAGGGCATTTCACCCCAAAACAATGAATTTCACCTTTTTCTCAAGTGCACACGGAACCTTCTCCAGGATAGATCACATCCTGGGCCATAAATCTAGCCTTGGTAAATTCAAAAAAATTGAAATCATTACAATGATCTTTTCTGACCACAATGCATTAGGATTAGATCTCAATTACAGGGAAAAAACTATTAAAGATTCCAACATATGGAGGCTAAACAACACGCTTCTGAATAACCAACAAATCATAGAAGAAATCAAAAAAGAAATCAGAATATGCATAGAAATGAATGGAAATAAAAACACAACAACCCAAAACGTATGGGACACTGTAAAAGCAGTGTTAAGGGGAAGGTTCATAGCAGTACAGGCTTACCTCAAGAAACAAGAAAAAAGTCAAATAAATAACCTAATTCTACACCTAAAGCAACTAGAAAAGAAAGAAATTAAGAACCCCAGGGTTAGTAGAAGGAAAAAAATCTTAAAAATTAGGGCAGAAATAAATGCAAAAGAAACAGAGTATAGAAAAATCAACAAAGCTAAAATCTGGTTCTTTGAGAAGATAAATTGACAAACCATTAGCCAGACTCATCAAAAAAACAAAGGGAGAAGAATCAAATCAACAAAAATAGAAATGAAAATGGAGAAATCACAACAGACAACAGAGAAATACAAAGGATCATAAGAGACTACTACCAGCAGCTCTATGCCAATAAAATGGACAACTTGGATGAAATGGACACATTCTCAGAAAAGTATAACTTTCTAAAATTGAACCAGGAAGAAATAGAAGATCTTAACAGACCCATCACAAGCACAAAAATTGAAACTGTAAACAGAAGTCTTCCAGCAAACAAAAGCCCAGGACCAGACGGCTTCACAGCTGAATTCTACCAAAAATTTAAAGAGCTAACACCTATCCTACTCAAACTCTTCCAGAAAATTGCAGAAGAAGGTAAACATTCAAATTCATTCTATGAGGCCACCATCACCCTAATACCAAAACCAGACAAAGATGCCACAAAAAAGAAAACTACAGGCCAATATCACTGATGAACATAGATGCAAAAATCCTTAACAAAATTCTAGCAAACAGAATCCAACAACATATTAAAAAGATCATATATCATGACCAACTGACCAAGTGGGCTTTATCCCAGGAATGCAAGGACTCTTTAATATCCACAAATCAAAGTAATACACCACATTAACAAAAAGAAAGATAAAAACCATATGATTATCTCAATAGATGCAGAAAAAGCCTTTGACAAAATTCAACATCCATTTATGATTAAAACTCTCCAGAAAGCAGGAATAGAAGGAACATACCTCAACATAATAAAAGCTATATATGACAAACCCACAGCAAACATTATCCTCAATGGTGAAAATTGAAAGCATTTCCCCTAAAGTCAGGAACAAGGTAAAAGTGCCCACTCTCACCACTACTATTCAACATAGTTTTGGAAGTGTTGGC